CGGGCGTCTTTTCCCAAATCCCTTGTTACCAAACACGAAGCGTTGTCGAGCTTCGCATTCAGTCGCTACAGATACCCGACGCCAACCTCACCACAGCGCGTCAACCATCCCCCAACTACCAACCCCGCCGATCACCAACCTCTCTCCTCTCGAAACGGAAGAGTCTCAGTTGTAAATAGAACACTCTTACCCCACAAATTCCTTTCTTTTCTCATACACTCTTTTCTTTTTCCTCGTTTCCTGATATCTCTTTTACTTTTCAACTTGGTCTGTGTCCAAAGTTACCTTTTGGATGCAGCATCATCTTGATCCTGTTGTTATTGTTGGCTGTTGTGTTATCGCAGATCTACGGATCTGGATATCTTTGTTTTTCAATGGCGGCGTCGTGCAAGATGGAAAGATCTCCTCCTGTCTTGTTCTCTGTTGTTGAAGGTCGCTCGAGTGTGAGTGAGATGGGAAGGTAGTAGCTTAGCTTGTTCCGAATGTTTCGCATGCAGTGCGAGGGTTACGTTTATTGTTGACGTAGTGGCTGACTCGAGGAATTGGATCGGACGTTAATACTTTAATGAAAGAAGCGAGTGTAGTACCAAAATATCGTGTCTGTCAATGTGATGTTCGAATCAACAGAGTGACACACTTGCGCTTAATATAGTTCAGGAGCGATTGCACAATGTAAGAGGGAGAAAATGAACTGGTACGTTAAAATATTCCACTACTCTGTAGCCTACAACAGTACAGATAGAATTATTATCTACATACGCATATAAGCTAGAAGACGGGGCATGGCAGGAAGGTTGATCAGGACAGGCTCATCGCGATCTCGAGAATTCTAGATTGTATGAGGATGTCCTGGCCATCGAGTCTTGGATGTGCCTCGAGACCTTCATCACGCGTAGATTCATCTTCGGGTCTGGCCACGTCTTTACTCTCAGACTCAGGTACAGTAGCACCGTTGTCGATAACTGTTTGGTATCGTCTCTCGACCACTTCGGCTGCTGACCCCTCGTCTTATAATACCATCTTGATCTCACTGACTAACGTCGTCCGAGGAAGTTGTCCGAGTCTTTGTGCATATTCGTTCACTGAAGTAAACCATACTATTGTCTTTCCAGATCGCAACTCTAGAAGTCTATCGGCGAATGAACCACCGTCCACATTAAACGTGATATTCCCCCAACGCCCTGAGAATGCCGTACCATCCCTTTCCACCCCAAATCTAATTAACAACCCTCCTCATCTGCGCCGCCTGTCTTGGCTCAATAAACAATGCCTCTGCCTCCGTTAGGATGAGCGGCTCCTTGCCCTCCTTGGGAATCGTCTCCAACCAGCCCTTGACCCATGCTTTCCTCCCCTCAACCTTTGTCGTCTCCGCCCTTAGAACGACAATCTGCCCCGCCATGCACGGCGCCTTGTATGTAATGTTTAAACTGGCAGTGACACCTACTTTGTTGGGCAAAGCAGGGAAACAGCATCGTGCTAGTCCTTCGTCCAAGAGCGTGGCTAGGAGGCCTCCGTGGACGATACCAGGGTGTCCGCAGAGTGCTTCACCGAGATATTGCAGAGAAACAAACGATGAGCCGTCTGCGGTGCTGAATTGTAGCGGTGGGACGGCGATTTTGTCGGGACCGAGTAAGGTGCCTCCAGTCAAGTTTTGTGCTCGCAGACCCTCTGGGATCTTAAGGTGGGGACGCGAAGGAATGTATTTGGGGTCTTCGAGTAAGGATTTTGTGATCGGGTGCTCGAATATGCTTCGTTCTATTTCCGCGACTTGTTCTGTGGAGGGCTTGAACATTTCCAAGGTCTCAGCGTCGGTGGGTGGGTTCGACAGGTCCCTGAGGGACTCGATTGCGGGGGCGCCGGCCATGATGAAGCCGCCTGTGAAGGTGAGAAGGGTGAGAGCGAGAGCGATAGGTAGGCGGATGTAGATTGGGCGTTTGGCCTTCTGGAGATTTGGATTGGGTGGTGGTGGTGGTGGTGGCGTTGATATGGGTTGTGAAGTTTGCGATTCTGCTACAAAAATGTTAGTTTCGATATTCTTCTTCGATTCTAGTATGACGACAAGATGGTGGTCCAGCCCACCCAATCGAGAACAAGGAAGACTTACAAACAGTACTCTGCCACCTAAAAATCCTCCTATCTGTACCACGACCAGCCTTTATACAACACCGGCCGACTTCGCGCGGGGCCAATGCCCTCCTACCCCCGAGTCCCAGACTCCGACCCACATGCCCAGATAAGGTAGACCTTGCGGATATCATGGTTACGTATCTGCGCGGCGCCTAGAATCAGAAACTTTTCCTGGGCTAGAGGGAAGTCGGTGAGCGTTTGGTAACATCGGAGGTTCCGCGCAAGCTCGGACTCTTCGGAATTGAAATGCCTCGGCTGAGTGAACGCGGGCTGTTGGTTCGACTTTGTCAGGGGAAATTCGGTTCGACGGCAGCCAAGATAAATACTATTGGAATGTCGTCGACTGTGTCAGTGTTTTGGTGCGTACTTCGGCCGATGAAGGACTTGATCAAGGCTGAGGAGTCTGGCGTGTGTGTTCCTCCCCTTTCAAGTTGAATGGGTTGGCGCCAATGCCTACCACACCACTAAAACATGTCTCTATACGCATTGCTTGTGACAACAGGTATGCTATGGGCTTAAGCAACCTCACTTCGAAATCTGATAATTATCGAAAAGAGGAACATATGTCCTAAGGGGACGCACAACGTACGAAGTGAGGTTTGATTTTTCTCAATTCCGTCTTCAGGGCACATTCCTCATGCTTTACACGTGGTATTTCCACTCCACCGATCCATCAAGTCATCATACTATACATACAGAGTAGAGAAGTGTGTCATGTAGGACGCCGTACTCTTCTACAGCATCCGTCTATCCACTTCCATGACCCATTGACGAAAACAGAATAGACCCCATGTAGAGGCCAGGGACTATAGTAAAAACAGAGCAATAGCTGTATCTTTTTAAGACGCCAAAGATGCCGGAAGAACATAAGATGCGCGAAAACATGGCGTATTCGTACAGGGTGGGAACACAGGTTTGAAGGAAAAAGGGATAAGTTGGCGACTCGCTCAGTAGTAATCCCTGGCACTCTTCTGCAGCTCGATCAATCTCCATCCTCGTGTTTCGGGGTTGTTCACGTCTTCTGGTATCCTGGTGACACCAATAGCGTATGTGACTTGTTGGACCTTGTCATCCATGCCGGATGCGAGTTCACCAGACTTGGCGTTGCGGTATACGTGCACTTCTTGTGTTCTGCAGGTAAGGATGAAGACTGGGATCTCTCCTGGCTCCAGCAGTTTCGCGTTCAGGACATCAACACCACGGATATCGACGATCTTTCCGTCAGACTTCAGACCTGCGGCTTGGTATTGTTGCATCAGCGCTGCGTAGACTGAGTATTGTGCTGCTGACAACCACTCTTTCAGGACTGCGATATCGCCCTTGACGTATGCGTCCAAGACTTCTGGGAGGATGTACTCGCGCATCTCGGTCAGGAAAGGTTCCATCTGGAAGTTGGGGTCCATTTCTCTGAATCTCTTAATGACCATGGCCGTCTCATTCTCCGCGAAGAAGCCAGTGATGCGGTCGGTGATACTGCGGGCAGTCTCGATGAGGGGGTTCTCGGACTCCCTGTAGACGGTCTTCATGCCGAAGAAGCCCTGGGCGAGCTTTGAGTTATCCTTCCACTCTCTCCAGACTTCCTTGTACTTGGCGTCCTTGTGCAGAGTGACATTGGTACCAGCGCTGCGAATTGTCAGTCGAAGCTTTTGAGCTACTTGGAAAAGTCTTACTTTGGGTCTTCTTCCATTGGCCCCAAGGTCCTACCACCTGTTCTCTGGAGTTCGTTGAGTTCGCGCAGCTCACGCCTCTTCCTACGCTCCTCCTTCTCGACCCATCCACCGTATCTTGACGAGCTACCATCATCAATGGTCTCCTTCACAGCCTGGAAGGCCTTGGTTTGTCGCACTGGTCGGGTTGCGTACTCGAGGCCACTTCCGGTAACCCTAGCAGCAGCGCGAACGCCCTTGACCGGCATGGTGTCCCATGTCCACGCCGCACCGTGACCGACAGCTGATGCTGTGGCCTTCAATGCCTCGGTTGTCTTTGTCTTGGCGGCTTCAGAAATCTGTCCAGCTTTCTGAACATTAGGATTCTGCTGGAAGTCGTGTAGTGCACCACCCAACTGCTTTGTACCCTCATTCCAGTCCTTGGAGGCCTGGAACTCCTGCTTCAAGGTCTCGGTGAAGACTTGCCATGGTGTCTTGTCACCGTGGGGTGGAGGTGGAGGCGCGTCCTCCTTCTTTTTTTTCTGACCCTCCTCGCCCTCTTTCTGTTCACCAGATTCCTCCTCTCCATCCTTCTTCTCTTTGGCTTCCTCGCCCTCTTTCCTTGCCTGGTCGCCTGCAGCCTGCTCTGCTGTGTTGGCCTCAGAGTCTGTAGACTTGGTGGACTGGGGCTCCTCGTCCTTTACAGGTTTTTGCTTTTGCGCTTGCTCGTACAGTGCGGGGCGAGAAGAGAAGTGGCGGGCGTATGCGGATGACGTGCGGAAGAGAACATCTTGGGGCAAGAACTCGCTGCGGAGGAAGCGTTGAGAGGAAAGTGTGGGTGTGGGTGGGAGTGAGGTGCGTGCGGAGGGGACTTGCGAAGCTCTTGGCAGTGTCGATATCCGTCTATACGCTGCAGCTCTTCCATATGCGCTTGCAGGCGTAGCAGCGGCGGGTTGTATGCTCCATCGCGCAGTGGCGGCGAATGTGTTTGCTGTTTGGGGCCTCATGCTCTAGGATTGAACACAATAGGACTAAAATTAAATTGAAGTACAACCGGCCCAGAGGGAATGTGTTTAGAAAGTGGGCGCGGCAAATGTTGGGTGAAGGACGTCAGTTTCGGCATCGCCATCTTTTTCCGCGGTAGTGCCAAGCTCGCAACTTTCTTCGACCTTCTAGCAAGTCACTGCATCCGCGAACCTCAATCGGGGCATCGATACCGCCTCCAACATGGCTAGCAACACCACCTTACGGACGTTTCGATCGCTCACATGCACAATTCGCGCATCATGTCAACACACGCAGCCTCTGCGACCCTTCTCCCACAGCACACGAGCCCTCAATGCGTCTCCCACCGACCGCAATAAGCCCTCTTTGTCAATGGACAGTCTTCTCGGCAATGTGTCACGCAACTTCAAAAACGCAGGTCCTGACCACTTTGGGAACATAATACCCAACGCCGACGGGACCCCGGGCTTCAAGAATCTTGCACCACGCGAGTGGGAAGAGGACGACAAGCACAAATTACACGTTTACGCTACCAAGCACAACACACATCTGTGTCTCACACAGCCAAATCGCAATCCCCTCATCTCGGTATCGTGTGGAAACATTGGTTTCCGGAAAGCGGGGCGCGGGTCATACGATGCTGCCTACCAGCTCGCAGCTTTCCTCATGAACCGGATTCAGGACAAGGGCTTGCTGCCACAGATTCAGAAGTTGGAGTTGATTTACAGAGGATTTGGACCAGGCAGGGAGGCAGTCACAAAGGCGATACTGGGTTCCGAGGGAAAGAGGATACGGCCGTTGATTGTCAAACTAGCCGACTCTACGAGACTCAAGTTTGGTGGTGTGAGGAGCAAGAAGCCAAGGAGATTGGGTTAGAGTCTGTGAGAAAGTAGCAGTGTACGATGATAGTAGGACCACTTGAAGGCATGCATCACAAAGAGCAGTGTATAGTGGCCAAGGGCAAATTAGACCAATTCGAGAGTCATGTCAGATTTTTCGGCAATGGTGCCCTTTCAGCGGGTGGAATAGGCCGACCACTAGAATCCGTTTCCGCGATGTTGACAAGCCTGGGTGCAAGATTTCCAGCCTCATACCTAATAGGCCCTCTTGCGATTCCTTGATCACTACGACTACTTCCAGCAGAATAGCTCTCGTTTCCCCAGCCCCTTGCCTCCTCAGCGGTGCGATGGCGTTCTCGTTCTCGGTCGTGCCGCAGCATCGACGCTCCTTCGTCTTCGAACTCCTCGTCAAGCAACTCTCCATCAGCAGTATCATAATCCGGTGGCGCTATCCATTCCCGTGGTACAACGCATGGCAGAGCGACGCCGATGCTAGCGGCACGATTCAGATAGCTTGGGGCTGGGCGACCGGTGAGCTTTTCGCAGAGGTAGGACGTGAAGTGGTTGCAGTTCTTGGTGAGGAGGTTATACGATGTTCCTTGAAACTCGTGCGAGGCCTGTGACACGTTAGCCAGTTCTCTGAATACGAATGCTATTGCATACCTCTTGGATGATAGCCTCTAGTTCTTCTTCAGGCCGAAAAGAGAAGCCATGTAGGATCGCCTGCTTGAAAGTACCACCTGGGGGTTCTTGCCCAGGTTTTGTCCAGTACACTCCCGTTAGATCCCGCCGGTCATGCCCGCCATATGCATATTCCCTGTCGCCAATAACAACACCCGTATGTAGGAGAGAACTTCCAATCGCCCAGAGCACAGTGGCGACCTTGCCGGGGGGTAGTAGATCATAGACGTGTATGGTGACCTCGGTTCTTGTAAGTGACAGCGTACTCCTATGGTTGCCGGAGCTTTTGCGCGAGGGTTTTGGTCGGGCAGAGGACGACATTTTGTGTAAGTGTGGTGAGATGTATGGATGGGTGTGGTGCAATGTTTAGAAATCAAGTGTGGTATCTATTGCGATAGGTATCTCTCTACGTTTGGTACCGAAGATGGAGGGTGGGGTATCATAGACGCTGGTAAAGGACGCTGAATGGTGTGAGGTACTGGTGCGGGGGCGGGAGGGTAGAGGTCAGTGAGCGGGACCAGCCCTCGAAGTAATATGCGGAGATGGAGGTATGGGCGGTGATGTCGACGACGAACTGCCCCAACCGCCCATGCTCTGGCGATCTGCACTGGACCAGGCGCTTGCCGCGTTGGAGCAAGCGCCGCACGGACGCCACCCTAGCCACATAAACTCTTGAAAATTCGATTGGACCTCCAGCCTCTGCTTGTTCCAGGAAAATGCATTTCGGCTGCTAATGCCCCTCACGCCGCCTCTGACGACCTTCTCTTTCTCTTCTTTGATACCCACTTTTTACTCTCCGGCAGCAAGAACTGCCTGTCATTTTTCGGCCTCTTTACACTCTTCACCTTCTCCCACCAAATTTTTCATCGCCTTCACAGCCGCTCGCACCTACGCGTCCGCGCCCAAGAAGAAAAAGATGCCTCCCAAGAAGCAAGTCCAGGAGGTGAAGCTTCCGCTCGGCAGGCCAGGAAACAACTTGAAGACCGGTATCGTGAGTGAGAGCCCTACATAGCTTGCCTCGTCGCGTTCTCACATTAACAGTGATTGCCAGGTTGGCCTAGCAAACGTCGGCAAGTCGACTCTGTTCCAAGCCATCACCAAGTGCTCTCTTGGTAACCCCGCCAACTTCCCATATGCCACCATCGACCCAGAAGAGTCGCGCGTCATTGTCCCAGATGAGCGCTTCGACTGGCTGGTAGAGCACTACAAGCCCAAGTCGGTCGTTCCTGCCCACTTGACCATCTACGATATTGCTGGTCTGACGCGCGGTGCCTCCACTGGTGCCGGTCTCGGTAACGCCTTCTTGTCGCACATCCGTGCCGTCGATGCCATCTTCCAAGTAGTCCGATGCTTCGACGACGCCGAGATCATCCACGTTGAGGGTGACGTTGACCCGATCCGTGACTTGGACATCATCGCCGAGGAGCTGCGCCTGAAAGACATTGAGTTCACTGAGAAGGCACTCGTTGCTCTTCAAAAGGAGACAAGGAGAGGCGGTCAGAGTTTGGAGATGAAGAAGCTCAAGGAGGAGCAAGCCACAGTCGAGAAGGTCCTTCAGATGCTCCAGGACGGCAAGGATGTCCGGAAGGGCAACTGGTCACCTAAGGAGGTATGTACATCTTATTTCTCTTTCTCACACCCCCTGTTAGAAGATGACAAAGAGCGATTGCTCTATAATCCCAGCTCTCTGATGGCCCATTAACGCTGGGCCGTTCTGAAGTGAAGTCCTACTCTGATTAACAATATCCCAACTACATCACGTTTCTGAGATACTCCTTGCAAGCATATACTTACAGTTTGCTAGGTCGAGCACATCAACCCTCTTTTCCTCCTCTCAGCTAAGCCCGTCGTAACCCTCGTCAACTTGAGCGAGAGGGACTACATCCGCAAGAAGAACAAGCATCTGCCCAAGATTGCCGAATGGGTCAAGACCAACGCCCCTGGTGACCCAATCATTCCCATTTCAGTACAACTTGAGGAGCGCCTCGCTGTCATGTCTGACGCGGAGGCTGCTGAAGAGCTCAAGACCCTCGAGACCACGTCAGCGCTGCCCAAGGCCATCCAGACCATGCGCAAGGCTCTTCAACTTGGTAGCTTCTTCACCACTGGTACCGATGAGGTCCGACAATGGACAATTAGGACTGGCACCAAGGCGCCACAAGCTGCTGGTGTCATCCACGGTGATTTCGAGAAGACCTTCATCCAGGCTATCGTATACAACTACAGCGCACTGAAGGAAGAGGGAGATGAAGCCACTTTGAAGGCAAAGGGCAAGATTATGACAAAGGGCAAGGACTACGTTGTCGAGGACGGTGATGTTCTCCTCATCAAGGCTGGTGCTGCTAAAGCATAAACAGCTTTTTTGAGTCTTGTCCACGTGTGTATGTGTTTATGATCTACTGCCATCTTACGATGAGCTACATGAAAAGCAGCTAGACTGCACTGAATGAATGAAGATAAACATACCCACAAACATGATCTTTGCACATCATGCTGTGATGCTTGAATACTGACGTTTCTATTATGAAGAGCTAGAAATTTTCTTAGCAGATATCTCTATCCAAATTACATACCTCTTCGCAAGCCCAACTACTTCGCCTTGCCTTTAGTCTCAACAAGCATCCAACTATTTCCACAAATACAATGCTTGCTCACACCCAGCAAGTACTGATAGTGTGCCGCAGTATACCCTGGCAAACCAGGCACGACATCCTCCATACACGCACCACATCTAGTACACTGCCTGAGCAAATTCCTTCTCTTTCTCTCCCCCCCCGCCGCATCCCCGTTCGCTCCAGCAGCACTATTGGTACTATCGCTCCTCCCACGATTCCCTCCACCCGTCGCACTCCCCACAGGATGAACCCAAGTCCCCGTGCCCCTAATAATCATCTTCTGACACACATCCACAACGTGCTGCTCATGCCATATCCTCGCACGCTTGCTATCCTGGAAACCAAGCCACGTGGTATCGAAGAACATGAGTTTCCCCATGTCGAGTTTATCAGCCAGACAGCCGTTTTGCTGGTTGCTGTTCCAGAGGGTATCTGTGACGAGGCGTTTTGCTGCGGGGAAGAGGATGTCAGGGATTTTTCCTAAGAGGAGTTCCCGCTCGATGCTGTTGCGTTGCATGTCCGTTAAATTGCGCTGTTTGTAGATGCCGCGGACATGATTTTGCGTTTCGCTGATGAGCACTTCAAACCAGCGGTATTCGAAGGGGACTTCAGTTACGGCTTGGTCGAGGGGGGAATATAGCTTTTTGGCTTCTGGGGTCTGGGGCGGCCCGGAAGGGCTGCCTTCTTGAGGGGGTCGGACGTAGGCTGCTGCGCTGCGCTTTACCCATTGGATTGGTTGAGCCCAGAGTTTCATCATGGCGCGGGGGAAGGCAGAGAGGAGGAGCAGGAGGGCGGGTTTGTTGAGCTCGTGAATCTTTTCTTCGAGCACAGAGCGTGTAAGCTCGGTGCCGGCGGGGAGGTCGGATATCGCGCGGCCGATGGTGAAGAGCTCGTCGAAGATGTATGCCATGAAGTGCATGGTCCATCTGCTTGTTCCGATCATTTGTGGTACACCTTCGGGCTTGAGGTTGTTCTTTGATGTATCGCCATGCAGGCGGAAGATGGTGGTCAGGGTTTGCGTGACGAATCGTATATTGATAATCTGCCAGGCCATCTTGCTGCTTAGGGATCGTTCGACGGTGCCTTGAAGGCCGAGAAGGTTCATGGCCGAAAGCGTCTTTACGAAGAAGGGACCGCGACCAAGGAGGAGAAAGTGGTTGCTGGAAGTGTCGTCCACACCACAATCAATGTTGACTTGGAGTCCTTCGAAGAGGAGGTTGATGAAGTCATGCTTGCGTTTCTCGCTAAGGGAGCTGATGATAGCGAAGATGTCGTCGCTAGAGTAGTATTGGTTTGCTGCCGAGGAGGACTGTAGGATGAGTGCTGCGAGTGCGGCGGAATGCCGTGGGTCATCGTCGTCTGACGAGAGGGTACCGTGAGAGTATTCCATGGAGCGTAGCTTTGGGTTGCCGTCCAACTGCATGCATACCGCCATGCAGTGATTGGGCGACAACGCAACGTGTAACGAAGGTTCTGCATGTTGGAAGACAAAACCAGCTTGTAATAGCGATGTTACAGTATCGGTATTGTCATCTGGCATGACTACTTCCATAGTGGATCGCTTCCTGAACTCGATAGCACCATCGCTGTAGGCGAACGCCAGGAGCATGTTATACCATATCGGACAAAAGTCCAAGACGACGCCATGCAGGGAGAAGTCAGGCTGCCTTTTCAGAAGAAAAGTGTTCTGCGCAGGTGTTGAGCTTACGCTCTTCTTCTTCGACGTTACTTGATCAAGGCT